AATCTTGCTCTGTCACCCAGGCTGGAGTGCAGGGGTACTATCTTGGCTCATTGCAACCTCCCCTTCCCAGGTTCAAGCCATTCTTGTGCTTCAACCTCTGTAGTAGCTGAGATTATAGCACGTGGCACCATGCCCAGGTAATTTTTGTATGTTTAGTAGAGACGGGATTTAGTAGAGACGGGGTTTTGCCACGTTGGCCAGGCTGATCTCAAACTCCTGGCCTCAAGTGATTGCCCGCATTGCCCTCCCAAAGTACTGGGATTACAGGCATGAGCCACCACGCCTGGCCAAATAAATGATTTTAAACCAGTTTGGGCAGTGTTGTGACAGAGATAAGTGCATAGTGTTGAGGTAGCACATACTAGAAATACTTCCCCAGGAGGTGATACCTTAGCTGAGACTTAAAGGACAATAGGAGTTCTAGAGGGGCAGATGGGAAAGGGAAAACATCTAAGCAGCGTGGATAGCATTATAAAGGCTCAGAAGTGAGAGAAAGCATGACTCTTTCTGGAAAACGCAAGTAGTCCCAGGTTACTGTAGTGTGCTAAGGAAAGGTGTAGCAAGAGATAAAACTGAGGAGTGGTAGAAGATTAAACAGGACCAGATTAGAGGAATTCTTGTTTGGACTTTACCCTGAATGCTCTGGGGTATGTGTCAAATGCAACTGTAATATTATATCTCAAATGCAAATATAAATATTTCTTTAATGCCATTTAAAACTCTGGGAAATGTTGAGATATATCACTCTGACTATAATATGGAGAATGGATGAAGAAAGTTTATTACTGTAACTAGGGGAGACTAGCCAAGAAGTAATTGCAGTAATCTTGGTGAAGTCTTTTTTTTTTTTTTTTTTTTTTTTTGAGACGGAGTCTCACTGTCGCCCAGGCTGGAGTGCAGTGGCCGGATCTCAGCTCACTGCAAGCTCCACCTCCCGGGTTTATGCCATTCTCCTGCCTCAGCCTCCCGAGTAGCTGGGACTACAGGCGCCCGCCACCTCGCCCGGCTAGTTTTTTGTATTTTTAGTAGAGACGGGGTTTCACCGTGTTAGCCAGGATGGTCTCGATCTCCTGACCTGGTGATCCGCCCATCTCGGCCTCCCAAAGTGCTGGGATTACAGGTGTGAGCCACCGCGCCCAGCCTAAAGAACACTCTTACCTACTATATAATACTGCCTAACAGTTTCCAGTTACTGACTTGATCAATCAGGTGATTGATGGCAGTGCTAGAGCAACGTTAGGGAAGATGATTTCTGGTTTTGGACATTTCAGGTTGCCTTTGGGACATCCAGGTAGAGATGTCTAGGTGAAAGCTGGATTTTTATTATTTTTTTATTTTTATTTTTATTTTTATTTTTGGAGACAGGGTCTCACTCTGTCACCCAGGCTGGAGTGCAGTGGAATGCAGTGGTACAATCACTACTCATTGCATCCTCGACCTCCTGGGCTCAGGTAATTCTCCCACCTCAGCCTCCTGGGTAGCTGGGACTACAGGTGTGTACCATCATGCCTGGCTAATTTTTTTATTTTTTGTAGAGATGGAATTTTGCCATGTTGTCCAGGCTGGTCTTGGACTCCTGGGCTTAAACACTTCCTCCCACCTTGGCATTCCAGAGTGTTGGGATTATAGTTGTGAGCCACAGTACTTGACCTGAATCTAAAATTTAATCCAGATGAATGGCCTGAGCTAGATGGATATGCTGCTGTGGTAGTCTTTAGCCTATAGGTTGTTATGGTAGTCTTTAGTCTATAGGTGGTTATGGTGGTACCACCTGGCAAATAGGCTGGCATTACTACAATGAGGGTAGTCAGAGGTTTAGGAGTGTACATGACCACCTGAAGAATGTACATGTGTGTAGGGAATGAGAAAAGGTGTATCTTTCACATTACAATGTCACGCTTCAATTCTGGACATTGTTTTCCATAACATCTCAAATCTCATCTTACTCCCACCAAGAACAAAAAAACAGTTTCTGTTCTTTTGTATTTGGTTAGTGGTAAAATGAGATTAGCTATAAATGGTAGCTGTATTGTCCTTTTTCATTCTGCTTAAGTCAGACAGCAGACTGTAGATTGTTTAGCAGCGAAAGCCTACAAATACAAGTGAAATAATGGAAAAAATGTGGCCGGGCGCGGTGGCTCAAGCCTGTAATCCCAGCACTTTGGGAGGCCGAGACGGACGGATCGCGAGGTCAGGAGATCGAGACCATCCTGGCTAACACGGTGAAACCCCGTCTCTACTGAAAAATACGAAAAACTAGCCGGGCGAGGTGGCGGGCGCCTGTAGTCCCAGCTACTCGCGAGGCTGAGGCAGGAGAATGGCGTGAACCCGGGAGGCGGAGCTTGCAGTGAGCTGAGATCCAGTCACTGCACTCCAGCCTGGGCGGCAGAGCGAGACTCCGTCTCAAAAAAAAAAAAAAAAAAAAGGCCGGGCGCGGTGGCTCAAGCCTGTAATCCCAGCACTTTGGGAGGCCGAGACGGGCGGATCACGAGGTCAGGAGATCGAGACCATCCTGGCGAACACGGTGAAACCCCGTCTCTACTAAAAAATACAAAAAAAAAAAACTAGCCGGGCGAGGGGGCGGGCGCCTGTAGTCCCAGCTACTCAGGAGGCTGAGGCAGGAGAATGGTGTAAACCCGGGAGGCGGAGCTTGCAGTGAGCTGAGATCCGGCCACTGCACTCCAGCCTGGGCGACAGAGCCAGACTCCATCTCAAAAAAAAAAAAAAGGAAAAAGGGAGCCAAAGTCCCATGAAGCTCTATTATTCAGCATTTAAGATTGGTAAATGTTCACAAACTCTGGCAGCCTCTAGCAACGCATGTACTGTGTCTTCATGTTAACAGTGGTCTCAACCTGAAACATCCATGTATGAAGGAACTTGTTTTATAACAGAACCGAGTGGTATCTGTTCATGGAAGGTAGCATAGGAGTTTATTGCATTCCTTGCCTTTTCTCCTGGATTTATAGCGTGGTGGATTGTATATATATGTGAGTCTGTGCCTTGATCAGTATGCATAATGGAACAGGGCAGGAATTCAGATATCAGTTGATAGTGTCATAACATCAGGGAAAGTATGTTGACTGTTTATGGTCTTCTCTATTTGAGAGTAGACATAGACCTGGAGGCTTCTGCTGCTGCTGCAGGCCAGGGAATGGAAAGGTTTGTTTGGTTCTCATTCTCATTTTTTTCCTTTGCTTCTCTTTTAAACAACACTTTCTGACAAGTGATTGGGTCCATAGAGACCAGAGCTTGTACACAGAGAAGAATGGACAGAGATTATATTGTTTTCCTTACTTTATCTTGTGAGCTGCTTATCTCTTCCACAGGGAGGACAATGTGTTAAATTGAGATAATTCTGGCATGCTGTCATCTTTGGGGGAATCATAATTGCTCTGGTCATTTTAGGCAGCTTCAAGGGAGTTGAGTTCATTCAGCTTCAGTTACTTGAACTGAATTCAGTTACCTGAATCGATGCTTTCATGAAATGGAATCTTTTCCAAGTCAAAGCTTGGATTGAAATTTCACTGACTGGTTTTTATGAGATCACTTAGGGTCTCAAATACTTTATGTAGCAGTGCATTGATCATATTTTACTCTTATGTGTGACTTATGGGCAACTTTTAGCACCCTTGTCCCTCTGGAGTTTTGGAATGCTATTTGTGAGGTTCATAACTTCATAAATATTTATTGAACATCTACTACCTGCCAGGTAGTAGTCTAGATGGTAGAGTATACAATAAGGAACAAGCTATATAAGGTCCTTTCTCTCTTGGAGCTTACTTTCTTTGGGATATTAGACATTGAGTTAGGCTAGTTCAGATAAGATAGTACTTGTGAAAGATCTATAACAAGTTCTTTTGGATGTGTCTAGTGTCCTTCCCTACTGCATGTCCAGATCTTTCTCATCTTCATTTGAAGGCTGGCTCAAATGGCAGCTTCTCCATCATATCCTTATCTGATCCTTCCAGCTGATATATTCCTCCCGTCTTTGAAATCTCATGCCTCTCTATCAGCAACTTTCTTATGTCACCTTAACATTTTTTTTCTATTTGTTTCCTAGCTGTTAGTGCATATGTTAAGTCTCCCCATTAGACTATAAATTATTGAGGGCAGACTGGGCACAGTGGCTCACGCCTGCAATTCGAGCACTTTGGGAGGCCAGGGCAGGTGGATTACTTGAGGTCAAGAGTTCGAGACCAGCCTAGCCAACATAGTGAAACCCTGTCACTACTAAAACTACAAAAAATTAGCCGGGCATGGTGGTGTGCACCTATAACCCCAGCTACTTGGGAGACTGAGGCAGGAGAATCCCTTGAACCCGGGGGGCCGGAGCTTGCAGTGAGCTGAGATCCTGCCACTGCACTCCAGCCTGGGTGACAGAACGAGACTTTGTCTGAAAAAAAAAATTATTGAGGGAAGAGTAAATATCCTGTTCATCTTGGTTTGGGATATTTCACATTCAGGCAGAGGATGTTGTGGGAAAAAACACACTGAACTTAGAGCCAGAAGATGAATTGAGTACTGGCTTCTCTATTCACTGGCTGTGTGACTAGGCAAGTCATTTAACTTCACTGAAACTAAGTTTTCTATCACTAAGCATGTAGTAATCATCCTTCTGTTCCTGAATAGTTGTTGGGAGGCTCAAACTGAGATAATATATATGACTATCCTTTGCAAATTCTAACTTTCCACACACAGTATCATAGTAAATATTGAGTAAGTATTTGAATGAGTAAGCATTTACTTCAGTGAACACCTTTTCCTGAGCAGTTCTCTTGCTTACTGAGGTCTTTTGATTTTGTAAATATACTAGACTACTTTTTTATCTGATTTTTTGTATTGTTCCATTTTGCAGATGACATCTTAATTTTATTAAACTATTCTGTTCCTGAGAATTGGCATCTTCTTCATCCACCTGGGGGTGACCAGTAATTTTCTGTTTTTCTCTCTGTAGGTGCTATTTAATATTTAAATAACAAATGACATTTGATCTGTTTCAGCAGGTGGTCCATTATGGCTGACATGCAAAATCTGGTAGAAAGATTGGAGAGGGCAGTGGGCCGCCTGGAGGCAGTGTCCCATACCTCTGACATGCACCGTGGGTATGGAGACAGTCCTTCAAAAGGTAAGCAGTCCACAGCCCAGCAGAATGCTTTCTTTGAGTGTCTTGGCCTGAAAATTTTCTATTATTCTCTCCTTTGGAGCTAACTTCCCAAAACTTAATCTAGATAGTTTATCTTTTGTAATTTGTATTGCTGTGAACAGATAAGAGAGGAAAGGAAATGACTTGTACAGGGAGGCCTGTGGTTAAGTTATTTTAACACAAGAACTTCCTGCTTGTGTGATATTTCCTGTTCTTTCTTTAGCAGAATGACTCCAATATAAGTCAAATGACAAGTGATAATAAAATTCCTGTCTCCAAACAATTGGCAAATTGGACATTTTGCACATGCAGCAATTGAAACATAGAATGTTAGCACTAAAAGAAACCTTGGAGGATCATTTTGTTTATTTTCATTTTATAGATAAAGAAAATTAAGCTCAGAGAGGAAAAGGGATTTAGTCAAGGTCACACACCAGTTAGTGGTGATACTGAACCTAGAACCCAGGTTTCCTTACTCCTGTTCCAGTATCCTGTTGACTGTATTACCTTGCCTCCTCACTTCCATATAGAAGCACGTTTTAAAGAAGCCTCCTTCTGATGCATGGCTGATTCTTCGTGGTGTGTTTGTCTTTAGCAGGAGCAGCTCCGTATGTGCAGGCATTTGACTCACTGCTTGCTGGTCCTGTGGCAGAGTACTTGAAGATCAGTAAAGAGATTGGGGGAGACGTGCAGAAACATGTAAGGATGTTTTGCCTTTTTCTCCTTCTTTTAAGGACTGACAGCTTTCTTCAGTCAGCCAAGGTCCTCATCCTTGGTTTAAGAGCTCCTTGAGAAGTGCCTCTTGGTTTGAGGCATTACACATGTTATTTTTCTTTTACCTGTACTGAGGAGTTCAGTCCAGCCACAGAAACGATTCCTCCTATTTTTCTAGGCCCCTTGCTTTTATCACATATTTGTACAGAAAGCTTGCTTGGTACATAAAATATGGTTCTGTTCATCTTTGTAGCGAAGAACATGCACTCGTTTGATCCCAACATATTATATAATCAAACTTACAGTGGCTTATTTAAAGGAGTCATTATCATGACTTAGCATTTATAAAACTATGCTTGATAGTTATTAGTTATGCTAATGTGGGTTATTTTCACACTTAACCCACAGTAAGAATATGAAGTAGGCAGTGACAGGTGCCTTTCCTCCCACCTTCCTTTATGCCTCCTACGTCATCACCACCACTGCCTACTCCCACCCCACACTCACATATACATTCTACCTCTATTTTTGGGACCCAAAAAACCTTCCTGCTAGCTCACCGAATGATCCTTTATAAACAGTAACCATGCTCGGGATCTTCTTCACCTAAACCTTTCTCCAAGACTGGTTGCTTGGGTTTTGGAAAATCTATTTTGAGCCTCTCAAATACCATCTGTTGCCAATGGTTTTGGCTCTAGAGAGTGGGACTGGGACTTTAATAAGGGTGTGGAGGCTTGCATTTTTACTTTATACAGTTCTGTAACATTTGAAAAAACTTTAAAACATTTATCATTTGTGTTTTAAAAATGCAAATCCAGAAAAAAATAGATTGCTTTCTTTGAATTTTTGTATTTTAATAGTGCTTATAGTCTCATGCTTCTTAAATTCTTTTGACTACGAATGACCCTTAGAAATAAAGAACATATTTGTAACTGAGATAAAAGTTTCACAAAATGATATTTGTACTACTTCTGCTATACTTTTTTTTTTTTTAACTTTTTATTTGGAAATAACTTGAAGTTGGTGTGCTGCACTCATACTTTTGCTGTATTAAGCTCACTAAATTTATTTATTTATTTATTAATGGGTCATGGTATCTAGCATTTGAGAGATAGCTTTAACCTAAAGGAGTAAATACCTTGAGAATTTTTGGCATAAATTTAGGCCTTTGCCTTTACTCCTGTCTCCAATTTTTGAGAAAAGAAAGGTGTTTTTTTGGTTGCCGTTTGTTTTATTTTGCTGATGTGAAATAGGAAGGATTTTTCAGTGCACAGTATCACAATGCATGTGTAAGGTGCTAACATGACTTCATTTAAGGCTAGGTGATTATTCATTTAACTTCACTTCCAACTCTGGATGTGTGTCCCTGATGAGTTCCAGTAGGAACAGTAGTATATGTAATTCTGCTATCAGTCCCTGGAATCCGGAATACATGAGGAGGATAACATGAAGTGCCTGGGTTGCTATCAGAGTACATGGAAGTAGAGGTTTCAGGTTATTCTTATCAAGACTTCTCCAGTTATAATGTGTCATCAATAGCTGATTCTTCTTTCTGGCAGGCGGAGATGGTCCACACAGGTTTGAAGTTGGAGCGAGCTCTGTTGGTTACAGCTTCTCAGTGTCAACAGCCAGCAGATGTAAGTTCACTACTAGCTGGTTTCATTTTGGTTTGATGCTCAGGACGAGTTGAGAGATTTCTGTCAAGCTATTATAACATTTTAAAATAGACCTACTAGGCTTTTGATAATATATATTCATACCAAGTCCCAGAGGTAGAGCCATACTTCAAGTGCCTTAATGGGAAGGTACTATTGAGTACTTAATGGTCTCTACTGACTTTTTCTCTGTCATTTTGCATAGGCCCGTGGTTATTCCTGGGACTTTGCTTGCCTCCCTCTTTGCTGAGTCCACATTCGTCATAGTGTCTCCAAAGCCCTTTAAAGATGATTCTTTTGCTTCACTGTGGATGGGCTTTAGTAGTGCTCCTGTGGAGATCTTAAAACTCCTGTAGTATTGCTTCTCTCTTCATCCTTCACTGGTTGGGAGAATCTCCCTTTAATTTTACTCCCACCTCAGAATTTTATGGTGCAAGATGTGAAAAGCTGAATTAGAGAAAATTTAGATTTCTCTTGGAGTCAAAGAAAATAGGTTTCCTTCTTTTGCATTTGGCTTTCCTACAGAGGAATAATAAAGCAAGTTGTCCTAAATGCTGTATTAAAACCCTTGACTCTCAGCATGCCTAGATAATATAAAAATAATGTCATATATATTAGATTCTGGTTAAGCATACTGGCTTACTTCTGTAATCCCAGCACTTTAGCAAGACCTTGTCTCTACTAAAAAATTAAAAAAAAAAAAAAAAGTAGCCAGGCAAGGTGGTACATGCCTATAGTCCCACCTACTTGAGAGGCTGAAATGGGAGGAACATTTGGGACTGAAAGTTTGAGGTTGCAGTGAGCCCTGAACACACCATTGCACTCCAGCCTGGGCGACAGAACAGGACCTTCTCTCAAAAAACAATGTGTGTGTATGTATATATAGATACCATCTAATTCTAATCTGTCGAATTAGATTCTAATTCTTAATCTGTCCTGAATGGTTAAGATCTGAGAATTGAGATGTTCAGGAAATGGAGCTTTGGAGGAAGGGTGCAAACAAACAAAATTCATCCATTTTGCCAAGGTGCCTACTTGAATGCTAAGCCCCTAATTGTTTTTTATTTTATTATTTTTTTAAAAAATCTGTTTTTTGAGACAGGGTGTTGTTTTGTCACCCAGACTGGAGTGCAGTAGTGCAATCACAGCTCACTGAAGCCTTGACCTCCCAGGCGTAAATGATCCTCCCACCTCAGCCTCCTGAGTAGCCTTGACTACAGTGTGCGCCACCACGCCTGGCTTGCTTATTTATTTATTTATTTATTTATTTATTTATTTTTGAGATGAAGTCTTACTCTGTTGCCCAGACTGGAGTGCAGTGGCAGGATCTCGGCTCACTGAAACCTCCACCTCCCAGGCTCAAATGATTCTCCCACCTTAGCCTCCTGAATAGCTGGGACTACAGGCATGTGCCACCATGCCCAGCTGATTTTTGTATTTTTATAGAGATGGGGTTTCGCCATGTTGCCCAGGCTGATCTTGAACTCCTGGACTCAAGCGATCTGTCTACCTTGGCCTCCCAAAGTGCTGGGATTACAGGCGTGAGCCACCATGCCTGGCCCTAATTCTTTCTATTATTTGTAGAGACAAAGTCGTGCTGTGTTGTCCAGTTTGGTCTCGAACTCCTTGTCTCAAGCATCTCTCCTGCCTTAGCCTCGCAAAGTGCTGAGATTATAGGCGTGAGCCACCATGCCCAGACTAAGCCCCCTAATTGCATTTGATTCATCAGTTCTTTACCCAGCAGCTACTACATGACTAGCAATGCATTGAGGGCTTTAATGATGATAAAAGAGCTCATCTTTGAAGAACTAATGAGAAAGTAAAACATATTCACATGGGTCCATTAATAGTTTGTATTGGTGAGTGATAAAATGCCAAAATTGGTTATTCTGACAACAAATGCTGTAGGAGGCTGGTGTGGCCGGGTTGGAGGACCCTCATGAAGCATGAGGAAAATGTGGATTCATGGAAAAAGAAGAGAACATCATGAGTAAGGCACAGGAATGATGTCCTGAGTGTATGTCCTCTAAGTGGAACAGAAAAGAGACAAGTGGCTGAAATGGAGGTATTGTGGTATAGCTGAAGTATGGATCCTGATCATGAAGAACCATCAGGTACAGCCTGAGGAGTTGGAACTCTATGAGGAGAGTGAGATGATGAGCAGTATTTTAGCCTTAGGAATCAGGACAGGACTAATGCAGTTTATTTGGGTACTCACTAGAGTCCATAGAGAATTCTTACCTTCAGGATCAGAAGGCATAGACACCTTTGTGGAAAGATGTTAACCTGAATCTTTTCTTGTATCTTTTCCTAGAATAAGCTTTCCGATTTGTTGGCACCCATCTCAGAGCAGATCAAAGAAGTGATAACCTTTCGGGAGAAGAACCGAGGCAGCAAGTTGTTTAATCACCTGTCAGCTGTCAGCGAAAGTATCCAGGCCCTGGGCTGGGTGGCTATGGTGAGCAGTGCAGATTCCAGGGCTGGGGGTGTGGGTATAGATTCTAAGAGGCAAGGCAATATAGTTGGAGAGGTCCTGAGTCACTGACAGCTTGTTTCTCTCTAGGCTCCCAAGCCTGGCCCTTATGTGAAAGAAATGAATGATGCTGCCATGTTTTATACAAACCGAGTCCTCAAAGAGTACAAAGATGTGTAAGTTCAGCCTTTTCTTTTCTTTCTTTTTTTCTTTTCTGAGACAGTGTCTCGTGTTGTCACCCAGGCTGAAGTACAGTGGCACAATCACAGCTCACTGCAGCCTCAACCTCCCAGCTCAAACAGTCCTCCCACCTCAGTCCCCCAAGTAGCTGGGACTTCAGGCATGCTGCACCATGCCTGGCTAATTTTTTAATTTTTTCGTAGAGATGAGATCTCACTGTTTCCCAGGCAGGTCTCTAATGATTCTCCTGCCTTGGCCTCCCAAAATGCTGGGGTTACAGATATGAGCCACTGTGCCCAGCCAAGTTCAGCCTTTTCTCAAGGGGTAAAGGATAAACCCATTTGGTTACTTGCTGGAGTAGCACTTTGGAGTTACTGAAGGCTGCCCTTAGCCACTGTGCTGGTTTTATCTCAGGGCTGCTTTCTGGAGAGCTTTATAGATACTGTCTCACAGCTGCATTTGCAAACAGGAAATGTTTCTGCTTCCACTTCTGCTTTCTCTCCTTTGTTGGTAGAGGCCCTTTTAGCCTTCTCGGTTTAGGAAGTTTTGCTGACAGTAACATGGACTAATGCCCTTTATATAAGATTTTGTTTCTTTGTTGAGAATTTGTTATCTGGCCCAATGGCAAAGGGTTCAATAGGACTTCATAGAAATTCTTCATGCAGTCAGTTAAAGTGAGAGTAAGGCTGCCTAGCCAATGCAGGTATTACATAAGGCAGTCCTTGTATGTCTAACCACATACGTCTACCAGTTCTGACTTCTCCATTGCTGGTTTTGAACTGGAATGATTGCAGGCAAAATTTATTAAGTTGCATGTCTACGCAAACCCTTCCTTTCTTCCATCCTTCATCAATCAACAAACATTTATTAACTACTCTTTTTAAAGAATACTGCACGTTCCTGTGAGTGAAATGTGTCCCAGAACAACAGGCACTTCTTTATCCTTCTAGCAACATGGAATTAAGCATGACAGTGTTTTGATATATCCCACCATTATCCCATCACTTTACAGTTGAGGAAACTAAGTCTCAGGCTAAATAACCTTCCCAGCTAATATACAAGAAGAGAGGGGACTTGGACCATAGGTACAATGCTATTTCTATAATTTAGTGCTGTTTCCTCCTAAAGGAAAGTTTAAGTTTGCTTTTGGTGGGGGTGGGCATATTTTGACATAAGGCATTGTCTCGTAAGGCAGTTAAGTTTCTTAGAGTTCCACAGTGATACTTAAGAGCTCTCCTCTCTACCATGGTTTTATGTACAGAATGTCTGCTTGTCTTCTTTTATCAGTTTTACATATTAGATTGTGTTTAGGTTCTACTTTGGAAAAAGTTTCAATAAGCAAATGGTCAAAAGAAAAAAAGTTTTGGTACTTAAAACAGTTTGAGAAACATTGCTATGAGAGATAGAGATAGAATCCAGAGTCTCTATCTTAGTGGAGTTTGGTCTGATTAGGGTAATAGACTAGGTTGTGTATACATAGAAGTTTGGTGATGACAGAAAAGCTGCCATTGAGCAGAGCCTAAGAAACACCACAGGTAGGAGAATGTGAGCCCATAGGAAAGAAGGGTTCTGGAATCACCATTGTTATGTACCTGGACCACCTGTGACAAGTTCTTCTTTAATCCTCCCAGGGATAAGAAGCATGTAGACTGGGTCAAAGCTTATTTAAGTATATGGACAGAGCTGCAGGCTTACATTAAGGAGTTCCATACCACCGGACTGGCCTGGAGCAAAACGGTTAGTGAATCCTTCCTCCCTCCCTCCCTCCCTCCCTCCCGCTTTCTCTCTCCAGCGTGGGGTCCACAGGTTTCTTAGACTTCAGCACTACCAAAGTCTGTGAGGGAATGCTAGTTTTTTCAGTGGAAGGGAGGAAGAAAAGGGGGAGAAAGAAAGGGAAAAAAGAGTAAAGGAAGCAAGGATCATAGGAGAAGGAATACTTGGTGGTATTCAATTTCAATAAACATGTCAGGGACAGTGATTGGTGCTGGAGTGGGAGACACACACAAATGAGTTACACTGTCCCAGCCTTTAAGGCGCTTAAAAATAGGAACGCAAAACCCCAGTACAATAGTACAAATCACTAAGCCAAATGCTATAATAAAGATACAGACTCTAGAATATGAGGAAAAGAAGAGTGCTTCTCACTAGAAGAGATTATGCTTTGAAGGTATATACTCTTCTGTGAGACTTGAAAGAAGTATAGGGCAGTGAGAAGTGGGATACTACAAAAGGCACAGCTTAAACAAAATAAATGCAGAGTAAATGTAGAGATTGGTCATCTCTGGCTTCAATAAGGGGAAATGGTCAGATTTTTAGGAGAAAAGGCTGGAAAGGAAGGTAGGCTGAGACTTTGGGATGAGATATTTGAGCAAGGGAGTGATAATGATCCAATTTGTCTTTAAGAGTCTCAGTGTATAGGTTAGGGATAAGGACTCATGCTCGGATTATGAAAGTAGTCATGGTGTTTGGGAGATAGTAGAAAAACATTTGCAGGAGATAGCACCAAGATAATAGAAAGAGATTTGATAAGGTTGAAGAAGTTGGAATCCTCAAAGAAGATTGAATAGTCAGCCTTGGATGGTAACATCTTTCACTGAAACAGGGACAAGGGGATGATTATACAGGGAGGGGAGCAGGCAGGAAATGATGAAATCAGTTTTGAACTTGTTGAATCTGAGGTACTGGTAACACACTAAGGAAGATGTCAAATAGATTTGTGGAAAGAGTTTTTAAAGCTGGAATCAGGTGAGGTCAAAGGCAAAATGTGATGGTCAAGAAATAGAACTGAGAGCTGGATCTTCGGGAAAGGGTGAGAAGGCATAAAGCCAAGTTGGGTATGGGTAGGACGCATTAATCATTGCCTCAGAGGCTGTAGTGGGGACCCCATGTGCACTGGCCACATATAGGGTGCTACTGGGAATGGTACAGTGGGGAAGAGAGAGGATGACGATGTTACCTTCTCTTATTGTTTCAGGGGCCTGTGGCAAAAGAACTGAGTGGACTGCCATCTGGACCCTCTGCTGGATCAGGTCCTCCTCCCCCTCCGCCAGGCCCCCCTCCTCCCCCAGTCTCTACCAGTTCAGGCTCAGATGAGTCCGCTTCCCGCTCAGCACTGTTTGCGCAAATTAATCAGGGGGAGAGCATCACACATGGTGAGTGAACACTTTGACACAAACAGTCAGTACAACAAGTTGTGTGGGCCAGACCCCACCAACCAGAACCCAACAACTAGTCTGTAAACCACAACCCTGACTTGTGTGGGAGTCATTGTGTCCTGTTCCTTTAAGGGACAGCAAAGCTGGCTTAAATGGAAATTGAAAATGATGATCACAGTTGGAGGAAGCCCTCTGCCCCATGGGAAAGTGACTTAATATTAGGTAGCATATATAGAGTACCCTCTTGTGCCAAGGCACAGAGCTGGCGGTTTTCCCCAGAGCTTTTTCCGTAGCACCACATGGCCTCTGGGAAGGCACCGTGTTAGGGGTTAACTTCCTTAGAAGATGCATACTGGTTACATGGAAAATTTGCATGAGAGTGACCTAATGTTGGTATAGAGAAAGTAGATACCCTTAACACAGCTGGTGGAAGTCTGAGTTGTCCAGCCACTTCTAGGAATCATAGTAGCTAAAAATGGTGTAACAACCTAAATCCAACAGTAAGAGAAATGGTTAGTTAACTACCACATGTCCTGTTGATGAAATGTATGCCATCATTACATGTTTTTCTACAGTGAACCACGTAATGTTTAAGAAAAAAAAATCTAGTATGTAAGTTACAACCACGAGGAATAGTGGAGATAAAGGCCATTCAGTATTTGTTATACAGTTAACATAGATCAGGCCATGTTCAAAGCAAGGCGTGTGTCAGCCTGCTGTGGGAGATCATGAATTATTTTTCCCTTAAAACATAAAAGAAATATATTTTTACTTTTATTTTTATTTTATTTTATTTTTTTGAGACAGAGTCTCACTTTTTTGCCCAGGCTGGAATGCAGTGATGTGATCTTGGCTCACTGCAACCTCTGCCTCTCAGGTTCAAGCAGTTCTCCTGCCTCAGCCTCCTAAGTAGCTGGGACTACAGGCACCTGCCACCATATCCAACTAATTTTTTTGTACTTTTAGTAGAGACTAAAAATACACCATGTTAGCCAGCCTGGTCTCCAACTCCTAACTTCAGGTGATCCACCCGCCTTGGCCTCCCAGCGAGCTGGGATTACAGGCATGAGCCACAGCGCCTGGCCTAGAAAGATACTAAACTACAGGTTAACATGAGAAAGTTTTTAAGTGTCAATAGTTGAACTAAATGTATTAACAATGTGTATGATCATAACCAACAAAACCATATATATATATAGAGAGAAAACTATTGTAGAGTCGCAAATGCCAACACTGACTGAGGAGGTAGGGGAAGTAGGGTTAGTTAGCTGTGGGGAGTGAGGGTTTTTTGTTTTGTTTTGTTTTTTCCTTTTACCAAATTTTCTTTACTGCCACTTATTTTTCTTCCTTTATTGCTTTAAAAACTACATATTTGTGCATATATATTTGATATGTCTTTCTAGGTCTTTTTCTGTGCATTTACTCCCTATTGCCAACCACAGTATATACACATTCCATGTTGTTATTGTTAATGGAACCATATAATTTAACCTTGGGGAGAAGAGAAATGATAAAAGTACTTCTTCAAAACTGCTTGCAAGAGAACACCTCAAAGGCTCTGGTTTTTGGCTTTGAATTTTCTGTTAAGGATGTTTAACGTGATGATAGCAGCTCAGAGGTCTGGTATGAAGGACAGGAACAAGGTAGCTGTTGTTCTTACAGCCCTGAAGCACGTATCTGATGACATGAAGACTCACAAGAACCCTGCCCTGAAGGCTCAGAGTGGTCCAGTACGCAGTGGCCCCAAGCCATTCTCTGCACCTAAACCCCAAACCAGCCCGTCCCCCAAACCAGCCACAAAGAAGGAGCCAGCTGTACTTGAACTGGAGGGCAAGAAATGGAGAGTGGTAAGTTAAAAATACCTAGACAGGGGCAGGTATTTTTATTACATTTTTTTGAGATGGAGTCTCACTTTGTCGCCCAGGCTGGAGTGCAGTGGCGCGATTTTGGCTCACTGCAACCTCCGCCTCCTGGGGAAAAGGAGTAGGGACGGGGTTAAATGGAGCTTAGCTAGATGAGGGCAGAGTTCTGGCTTCAATTGCAATAACAAAAAGTTTGGGATAGCCTGGGTTTTTTTTGTTTGGTGTGTGCTTTATGATGAGAATCCTGGGCTCTCTCTCTAATAGGAAAATCAGGAAAATGTTTCCAACCTGGTGATTGATGACACAGAGCTGAAACAGGTGGCTTACATATACAAGTGTGTCAACACGACATTGCAAATCAAGGGCAAAATTAACTCCATTACAGTAGGTGAGTCTTTGTCACTGTCCCATGCAAGCCCCGTCCCAGAGCCCGAGAAGGCTAATATCATTTTACCTACCCTATCTTAAAGATTCCTAAATGTATATTACTTTCCTTTAAAGTTATACTGTTGACAAACTCCTTTTCTTCTCCTAGATAACTGTAAGAAACTTGGTCTGGTATTCGATGACGTGGTGGGCATTGTGGAGATAATCAACAGTAGGGATGTCAAAGTTCAGGTAACTCGATATTTTGGCTCCTTCTTTTTGTCCCTGAGGAATTAATTGAAAGAGACATGGTAGACCCACAGATGTTGCTTTCGTGGGAATCTGATTCTACAAAGTCTGTAAGCTGAGATGCTTTGGACGTGGCAGAAGAGGGGTTGGCTCTTCAGGCGAGTTCTTTTCAGGACCCATCCCAACCCACCCAAGTATCCAGTGTCTTGCGCACCTGTGAGCTTTTCATGTAGTTGCTGAGTCACGTGAAACAGGAAAGCTTTTCCTGCAACTTACTCTTGTCCTCCCCAACTGCTGGGACTCAGTTCTCTTGGTTTACTCTGCAGGTAATGGGTAAAGTGCCAACCATATCCATCAACAAAACAGATGGCTGCCATGCTTACCTGAGCAAGAATTCCCTGGATTGTGAAATAGTCAGTGCCAAATCTTCCGAGATGAATGTCCTCATTCCTACAGAAGGCGGTGACTTTGTAAGTTTCTTGATCTCTTTAGTATGATGTTAAAAACAGAAGGGACTGAAGATTTCTTGCATCGGAGAAAGCTGTTTCATGAACATTCTGCACTGAGCAGCTAAAAACCCAATAATGCACACCAAAAACACACAGAAATGAGGTAGTCCAGTGTAGTGGAGCTCCAAAGGAAGGTGCTTTCTGCCTAAATGGAGCTCAAGGTAGCAAAAAAGAATGGGGATGAGCCATGGCACCTTGTCAAGCTGGTGCTATAAAGCCATATGTACTGTTATTTACACCCCATAGACTATTGTCTGTCCAGGATCGCTGAACACTAGAACACAGCATGGCTCTATGATTTGTCTCTTGCTACATCCTCCCGTGCTCCTGGGGTTAAGTGGAAGCAAGCATTGGGAGAAATGTGTGAGATTTAGCCCCAGCTCTTCTTTAGCTCAGATTTAAACCTGCTGTCTCTTCTTTATTTGCAGAATGAATTCCCAGTTCCTGAGCAGTTCAAGACCCTCTGGAATGGGCAGAAGTTGGTCACCACAGTGACAGAAATTGCTGGATAAGCGAAGTGCCACTGGGTTCTTTGCCCTCCCTTCACACCATGGGATAAATCTGTATCAAGACGGTTCTTTTCTAGATTTCCTCTACCTTTCTGCTCTTAAAACTGCTTCTCTGCTCTGAGAAGCACAGCTACCTGCCTTCACTGAAATATACCTCAGGCTGAAATTTGGGGTGGGATAGCAGGTCAGTTGATCTTCTGCAGGAAGGTGCAGCTTTTCCATATCAGCTCAACCACGCCGCCAGTCCATTCTTAAGGAACTGCCGACTAGGACTGATGATGCATTTTAGCTTTGAGCTTTTGGGGGTTATTCTACCAACAAACAAACAGTCCATTGGAAAGAAAACAGTCCCAGGAATTAACAGATCAGAATGTTCACACTGGTTAATCTTTTTCTAACAGTGAGCATGAAGGTAGCAGAAGCTGGTGTGTTTCCAGATGGTTCTTCTAACCAAACTAATTTTCACTGTTGACAAGTGAGGCAAGGGTTGCACTGGACCGAAGGCTGAGGCTTGGCCATCTAGCATTCCATGCAGAATGGTTTCCCATAAGCATTCCTTTTATTCTCTGTTCTATCCTGGGTCTGCCTCAACCATGAGATAGGAGAGTCTCCGGTACTAGCTGCTATCCAGGGCAGTTAATGGAGTCTTGAACCCTTTCTTTCTCTGGGATCCCTGACTAGCACCTTCCTATAGAGATGACTTTAAAAGGAAAAAAAAAAAAAAGGAAAAACAACACACCATTTCAAGGAGTCTGGCATTCCTGAATCCTCCTTCCCTGCTAGGTGCCTGTCACCTGTCTTCACTGCCTGCTTTTCCCTGTCATGCTCATCAGCTTATGGCTTCTGTCCAAGCACCTGAACAGAGGACTAAAACCTCCACTGCAGGCTGGTTTTAGGTCTTGATTTATGTAAGAATCTTGCACAGCACTGCTAATGTAAATTTCAGTTTTTCCCCTCTAGGACAAACACTTACCAAAATATGCAACTTTTTTTTGGTGGGAAGAGAGATTGTCCTGTGATTTCTACCCATTTCCTGAGGCCTGTGGAAATAAACCTTTATGTACTTAAAGTTATACAGAAAATAGAATAAAGTTAATACCAAACTTGCTTAGTTGTTTACCTGTGATACTTGCTGTACAGGAATGTAAAAAATACTGAAAACACCAAGCATAAGAAACTACTCTTTATTTTAGACAACCTCATAAAATTATTTTCACATCCCCCCCCACTTCTTGCTCTTAATCCTCATCTTTTAGTTGAAGAATAAGGCTTGAGAGAGAGAAAGGAAAAACCATAATGGGTAAACTTAGCAGCACCAACACGGTTCTTTCATCAAGGCGTAGCTCATCATTTCTCCAAACTGACATTCTACAGAAATGTCTTCCAAAAAGCGTTAAGTTTTCACAGAGTGGGGACTATGATTTCCATGCTCAAGTAGTGTAGGAAATGGGAGATTGTTAGTTTTGTTTACTGTAACACGAATTCTCAGAGTCCTCAGACCCTCTAATGTGGGTGATCTCCAGAAGGAGAAAGGGAGTATGTAGTATTTTCCAAGCTTTTTGAGCAAACAATCCTTTTCTCACAGAACCCATCAGAAACAGTTTGGAGTATGCTGGTAAATATGTTTTGGGGATTGAAGTCAGAAAGGCTGATCTTTTCATATGGTTCCTCCTATTCTCTGCTAAAGCCAGCAACAGAGTAAGTTGACTCTAGCATCAAGACCACTAGTCATATTAAGAAAGGGCAGGTTGGTCAAGAATGGAATAGGAAGAACTAGCTGCCTCACTTTTCACTTTCGTGCCTACATTTTCTTCACTCCCTAAGTTATACAAGATGTACATTTCCTCTCTTAAGCAACTTAATTGGATGCTACTTCCCTCCTTTTGTGACAGAGCAACTAATTCATCACTACCTGAGGAGACAAAGTGGGTGCCACAGAAGCAAGACTAGGCCAGTGGGATTTGCCTAATAATAAGATGATAGCACAGAGGGTAACGTATTCAGAGAGGAAGGCAGCCTTAAGAAATGCAGAAATAGCCAAGCAAGATTTTTCCAAGCACTGGTTAAATCACCAGCAAAACAAAGCATTTATGTGAGTACCTCAGGCCTGGGTACCTCTTTGCTTGAAATCCGGCAAGATCTTGGAAAAACGTTTGCCCTCAGAATCTATCTCATTGCTTTAATTAGTTGTCTCCTTTGGGCCTGGGCACAGTTCTGGCACTGATCTGCAACAGACTCCCTTTCTAAAACTGAGCTTGACCACATCAAAAGTTTATAAAACAATCGCCATGGTAATTAAACTTGCATTCAACACCATATGGTAACAGAAGATGGCAAAGGATAAGCTTCAGATCTTAGATCTTTCCAAGTAGGGCATGTTAGATAAGGATAGAAGGATTAGTTGCAAGCTGGATCTGAGCTCAGGCTTGGCATGAAGGAAACTGTCTCCCATGTGGTTTGGAAGAGTTAGGGGCTCCCTGAGCTCTATTGTGAACTGTACGGGTTTCATCCAAGGAATGGTATAATGTGGGCATAAAACCATTCTTCAGACAACTGAAGATGGTCCCCTTCTGTAGCCAGAAACACTAGCTGTCCTGCATTGTCCATTTCTTTTAGCCCCAGGCGGTCCTGCAGAGGGAAAGCCATAATTAATCAAAAAGCTTAATGAAGTTTTGGAGTAAAATGGTAAATATGTTAACTCGAGATATATTGTCAAAATAAAATTGAGGTATATTTTCAAAAATGCCAAAAAGAATATCTCCTAGTTTTTTTTTCTTTCTTTTCTTTTTTTTTTTTTTTTTTTTTTTTTTTTGAGATGGAGTCTTGCTCTGTCACCCAGGCTGGAGTGCAGTGGCACAATCTTGGCTTATTGCAACCTCCACTTCCCGGGTTCAAGCGATTCTCCTGCCTCCGCCTCGCGAGTAGCTGGAATTACAGGCGTGTGCCACCACGCCCAGGTAATTTCTTGTATTTTTAGTAGAGATGGGGTTTCACCGTGTTAGGATGGTCTCGATCTCCTGACCTCAGGTGATCAACCCGCCTCGGCCTCCCAAAGTGCTGGGATTACAGGCGTGAGCCACCACACCCGGCCAGTTTTTTCTAAGTATTAAAAATGTATATGTAATTGAGACTGCACTATATAGAGTTCTAGATTCTGCTTTTTGAAAAGCTTCTCAGAGTCAGAGGACTACCTATAGGTGGGCAAGCCATGGACAACACTGCCTCAGCATGCCATAGGTAAGTGGGACTGAGCCAAAGACAGGAGAACATTAGCTAGGTAACTTAAAAAACATCCAACCCAGGCCAGGCGCGGTGGCTCACGCCTGTAATACCAGCACTTTGGGTGGCCAAGGCAGGCGGATCACCTGCGGTCAGGAGTTCAAGACCAGCCTGACCAATATGATAAAACCTCATCTCTAATAAAAATACAAAAATTAGCTGGGCATGGTGGCGGGCACCTGTAATCCCAGCTACTTGGGAGGCTGAGACAGGAGAATTTGCTTGAACCCGGGAAGTGGAGGTTGCAGTGAGCTGAGATCACGCCATTGCACTATAGCCTGGGCAATAAGAGCAAAACTTCATCTCAAAGAACAAAACAAAAAAACCATATGCAAACCTTAGGTAACAAACCCTGGACACTTCCATATTCTGGAGTTGAAAATGTCATTACCCATAGCCTAGGTGCTGGAGAACAACCCCTGGTTGGGAAGATAAGCAGTTACAACAGTGCCAGAATGGTGCTTCTGCCATGGCCACCATTATTTTGAGTTTCACAATAGGGAAGTTCTTAGCTGTAATTTCTCAAGCCTTTTTTTTTTTTTAAATCAGACTCTAGCTTCCCTTTTTACCTCACCACTGAAGTTGAGGCACCCAATGCAAAAGAAAAGCCAAGAGGAGACAAATGACCTCTGAAATAACATGGAGGAATTCTAGTAGAAGGTGACTGGTTCAGGTGTAGTACTTATGCATTTTGGAGAGTCTGTCTCCAATATAAAATCCTTAGGGCTGGGCATGGTGGCTCACGCCTGTAATCCCAACACTCTTGGAGGCTGAGGCAGGTGGATCACCTGAGGTAAGGAGTTCAAGACCAGCCTGGCCAACATGGTGAAACCCTGTCTCTACTAAAAATACAAAATATTAGGCATGGTGGCGTGTGCCTGTAATCCCAGCTACTAGTGAGGCTGAGGCAGGAGAATCGCTTGAACCCAGGAAGTGGAGGTTGCAGTCAGCTGAGACCACACCATTGCACTCCAGCCTAGGTGACAAAGCAAGACTCTGTCTCAAAAAAGAAAAAATCCTTAAAGTGTAGAAGGCCCCAGAACTGGAGGTGGTAAATTACTGCAACTTCTGCTTAAGATACAGGACCTACTGCTAAACAAAATTCACAACTGTAGTCCCAATCGGTCTCCTGCAGGAGCTTCCCTTGTAGTGTGTAATTTAGAAACAGGATTTCACATCTGTTAATGTTTAAAAGTAATGTTCCTTGGCCAGGCACAGTGGCTCACACCTGTAATCCCAGCACTTTGGGAGGCCGAGATGGGTGGATCACCTGAGGTCAGGAGTTCGAGACCAGCCTGGCCAACATGGCGAAACCCCATCTCTCCTAAAAATATAAAAATTAGCCGGGCATGGTGGCACACACCTGTAATCCCAGCTACTAAGGGGGCTGAGGCAGGAGAACTGCTTGAACCCGGGAGGCAGAGGTTGCAGTGAGCAAAGATTGCTCCACTGCACTCCAGCCTGGGAGACAGAGTGAGACTCCATCTCAAAAAAAAAAAAAAGAATGCCCCTCATCATGCCTGGAGGCTTCCTGGATTTGTAGCAGACGCACCTCAGCAAAGGCAGCTAGTTTTAAAACCTTTTTATCAAAAAAAGGGAATCAGACATGAGGTTTCTCTTGTTCTTCCTTGGAAACCGTAAGGTTTCAGGATGTAGTGAATTTCTGTAACGCAGTGCCGGATAAGCTAGAGCAATAATCAAGAGCCTAACAAGCTTCACCCATATTGGACATAAGTCAGGTGTTTCAGGAGTACCTAGTGCTCTGAGGTGTACAGGGCAGGGCTCCAGCACCAAAGAACCTAGCAGCTTCAAGAACTGGGAGCTGAAAAAGACAGCACAACCTCCCAAGATAGATTCCCCGCCAGTTACCTGTGTGTACAGGGAGGTCTCCTGTAAGGGAATGGTTTCCTTGGCTTGGCCACTTCTGTAAAATCCAAACCACTGCAGAAGAAGCAAAAGAAATAAGGTCAGATATGACACACAGCACATACTGCCAAACTAATTTGAGACTGGTTAGAAGCCAAAACTGCCAACAAAGTGAACATCATAAAGCTGTAGCAAGAAGGAAAAATGGATAGGGTGCGTCTGAGTCATCTCTTCTTAAGGGTGGAGCCCGAGGGATGAGTTAAATCTTTCTGAGGGGCTGCTTTCCACTTCCCCAGAATTTCTGCTTCCTACATTTATTAAGCAATAAATGTGAAAAATTCCTGGGCTGAGCTCTAGACATTCAAGGATGAATCTATCATCTGTTTCCAAAAACCTCCCAGTCTTGCAAGGCACAGAAACAATTCACTGTTGAGCACAGAGGTCAGCAAATGTTTTTGTAAAGGCCAGATACAAAATATTTTAGGCTTTAAGGGCCATATGGTTGCAACTACTCACTGCTGCCACTGTAACAAAAGCAGCCACAGACAGTATGTAAAAAGTAAAACTGTTCCAATGAGGACACTGAATTTAAATTTTACATAATCTTTATAAGTCAAAATACTTTCTATGTCTAAATAAATTTTACATAATCTTTATATGTCAAATTCTTTCCCCCAACCATTAAAAAATGTAAAAACCATTCTTCACGTGTGGGGAACACCAAAACAGGTAGCAGGATGGACTGGGCCTGTGGGCCACAATCAGCCAATCCCTGGTGGTGTGACATAACGTGAGGAGTGTCCTAACACAGGCTGATGATCTACAAAAGGGATCACATTCTGCTTGGAAGGGGGATGGCATCCTGTCCTTGACAGACGAATAGGAACTGTCAGGTGGAGAAGCCAAGAAAGTACATTCTAGAGACAGAAAAACATGAACAAAGTTTGCATACGAGAGAAAAA